GGGAGCCGGGGGCGGCAGCTCTGCGCTGCACCGGGAGCCGGGGGCGGCAGCTCTGCGCTGCACCGGGGGCCGGGGCGGCAGGTCTGCGCTGCACTGGGGGCCGGGGGCGGCAGGTCTGCGCTGCCCTGAGGGTTGGGGGGGGCGAGTGGGGGTGGTTGCTGCATTGGGCAAAGGCCTGAGTCTTGCTGTGCTGGGGCTGGCGCGCCGTCACTGCTGCTCGAAGCCATTCTCTGATGGGGAGCTCTCCCCCCCACCCACGCTGTTTCCCTACCCACCCAGTGACCATGTCGCAGCCCAAGAGGACCGGGCAGGGGCTCCGTGCAAAGCCGCCCGTGCCCCCTATGGAGAGTGGCTGAGCATTGCCAGTTGCTCCCTGTCCCTGCGAGCCTCTCCCACCCTGTCCCTATCCGCCTGCTGGCTTCCAGCCCAGCCTCAGCCGGCATGGGGCCAGGTGAGGGCCGATGGGCCGGGCAGGGATCCGTCGACACTAGCTGGCCCAGCCTGGCCTGGTGGAAGTGAGCCTAGTGGGGAGCTGGGCATGGGAGTGAGCATGTGGGTCTGACCTGAGCCCGGCCGGCCCGCTCCCATGCCTGTGCCTGCAGAGGGCACTGTGGGCTGGTTGCCCCTCTCCTTCACTACACTCCTCTCCCTCTGTCCTGCAGAGCAAGGCCGTTCCTGCCAGGACCGCCAGATGGCTGCTGCTGCCCGCCTGCTGAACGTCATACAAGCCCTGGAGCGTGCCCACAGCGCCTTCGAGCGCCGGGAGAAGGAGGAGGCAGACAATGACTCTCACCACCCCTGAGAAGCCTCCTCCCCCTTCCCCACCCCCATCCCTCCCTGGCGCCTCTGTTGGACTGTGCCCACCTGACGATGGCGCAAGGGAGTGGGCCCTGGTGCTGGGAGACCCTGGCTCACTTGTCACCGCGCTCTGGGCTGGGGGTGGCGATGGCAGTGGCCACGTGGCCAAGCCACAGCTCAGGCCAGAGGTGATGGGCCACAGCAAGAGAAGGCACCCACAAGAGGTGGCCTAGCGCGTCCTGCTCTCCTGCCTCCCGGCGGCCTGCTCTAGCGCCCAAATCAACCATCAGATGGCGCTTGAAACCCTCCATGAATCACACCATGAGCCCCACCAGCCAACCTCCTTGCTGTCCTTTTCCCTGTGGGACAGAGCCAGGATCCGTCCCTCTAATGCCAGTGCCTGGGCAAGCTAGCTGTGCCCATCCCCCAGTGCCATCCTCCTGCGGGCTGTACCTGACCTTGCCACACAGGGCCTTCCCGCTGAACCTCAGTCCATGTGCACGGCCGGCCAGTGCCTGGTGTCCCAGAGGCGCATGCGGGTGACAAAGAGCCTGCCCCTGGCTCCCGAAGACAGCTCACCCCACCCACTCCCGTTGGTGCCTTTCCCACCCCACATTCCAGCCTTTGTGGCCACTGGGCGAGGGGAAGCGCTTGTGTCTGTAACTGATGGTGAGCCCCTAGCCATGATCCTCTGAACAAGAGCCGGGCTCTTGGGTGGAATAGCGTGTGGGCCAGACCGCGGCCCCACAGCACTCCTGGCTGTGCAGCAGAAAGCTGTCTAGCCTGCAGGCCAACCTCCGCCAGCCCGTCTCTCTGCCCCAATTCCACCTGCGCTGGCCCATGGGCCAGCCACCATGAACGTGGCTCTCCCCAGCACCTCCTGGGGGTGGGAAATCTAAGCTCTGCCATTGGAGGGTTAAACTCCTCCATCTTGTGCCTAGAGCGCAGTGGGTGGGGAGCCCACCTGGGCTGTGCTTGGAGAAGGAACCCAGGGCCCTGCATCTGCTGGGTGCTCCTTTAACTCACTGCCCTGACACTCCATCCACGTGTGCACTGCGTGGCTATCCACACAGCCCCACTGGGCGCCCCCAGCCTGCCCTGTGTGCACAGGGCTGAGCCTAAAACCCAGCTGGACCCCTCGTTGCTTGTGCCAAAGTCCTGCTCGGGAAGTGAGAGGGGGCTACTCCAGGGACGTCTCGCCCAGCTCACTGCGCATGGCGGAGAAGCCTACATCATTCGGAGTAACTCTGGTAATAGGCCAGAACAGGGCAAACAAACCAACTTGAAGCAGGCTGGACAAACAGACAGATCCTGGAGCAACGTGAGGTGTGATGGGGCCAGAGGGGGGTGAGTGTGGCTGAATGTGAACGCCCGAATCAGCCCAAAGCCCTGATGAATGTGAGACTGACAGTGCCAGCAGAGAGCTTCCCCAGCCCCTCTCCAGGGCAAAGCTGTGACCAAGGGGGCAACTGGTCCGCTCAGCTCGCTGCGCCCCGTGGATAGCAAATGGACACCCCTGCCTGCATGTGCCATTGGGAACAGAACCAGCGTGCCCCGGCTGGTGCCAAATGGCCAGGCTGGGGTTGTCAAGGCAGGAGGCAGACCTCTTGCAGACTGGCTCACTGGCTATCCGGGGCAGGGGGGCTTTGGAGTTAACCTAGATCAATGGTTCTCATTTGCGGACCCCTTTGGAAATCAGTTGTCTGTATATACAGCTGAATGCTGTTAGTTTTCAGTCACAGTCTTTCGCGGACCCTTAGACATCGTCCACGGACGCCCAGGGTCCCCGGACCACTGCCCTAGATAGATTTGCACACTCCTCTCTGTCTATTGTGCATCTCTCTGTATATGTCACACACACAAACGATGTTAAAAGAACTGTAATAAAGTTGCCAAGTGAAGCACTCAAACATTAAGAAGCGCCGGAAGCAGGGAGGCCCAGGCACCCTGAATTCAGCCCCCCGGTGTGTCTGGGTCAGTCTGCCATTCCAGGGCCCTGGGCAGAGGAGGGGCCATGCTCACTGAAGGAGCAGTGAGCCAGTGCTCAGTGTGTGGTCCCAGCCATTATTCAAACCCTCTGGAGACAGACTAGTTCCTTCATGGGCGTTTTCCCGGCACTCATGGCTATAGTATCAGTGCTTCAAGCATTAATTCATTTCTCTTCAGCTAAGTGGGTACCATGCTCCCTCTTACAGAAGGCAAACCGACGCGCAAAGATTAAAGTCAAAGGTGTCCACTAATTTTAGGTGCCCAATATAGGCGCCAACTTCCCCTCTGCCCGGTGGGTGCTCGACCCCCCCCGCCCCTGGCACACCTCTTCCCGCCCCTGCACCGCCCTCACCAGGGCCGGCTCCAGGGCAGGAGGTCCTTTGCTCCGAGCGGGAGTGAGGGACCGTCCGCCGAATAGCTGGACCTGCCGCCCCTCTCCGGAGTGGCCGCCCCAAGCACCTGCTTGGCAAGCTGGAGCCAGCCCTATTCAGCGCATAGGATGGACTCTCCCAAGGTCCATCCTATGCGCTGAATAAGGCAGGCGTGTTATCGAAGACTCTACATAATGCGTACACACAGGGCCAAATTAGGGTTCCACAGGCATCCTTAATTCTGGCATTTCTTAACTTTTGAGCACTCGACGTTGGAACCTCAATGTTGTAACGTAGGTTTTTGTGTGTAATTTCCTAACTTTTTAATAAAGCAAACTTCAAAAACAGATGGTCCATCATGTGACATACTGACATCCCCATGGCCCCGCAAGGTTGGAACCTTTAGATCCAACCCAGAGGTCTCTGCTACTGGAGTAAGTGTTAGCAGTAGTAGGTTGTTAGCCTCTGTAGACCAGCATTATGGGGGGGGGGATACTTTGCTAGTGGCTTTCACAGCTATTTGCTGAGAGAAGAAGGATGAGATGCAGGAATCAGATCCCATTCCAGGCACTGAGAAGGGGTGTTGTGGTGGACACAGACTTTTCTGCCCCCTTTTCCAAAGTGTGCCCATTTCTGTCCTGTCCCCTCCAACCTGTCCCTGTCTTGGTCCTGTCTCTCCCCTACCCCTGACTTCTTGTCCCATTGGCCATGCCTCGCCAGTCCTAGTCTCCATTCCTCAGGCTTCTCGTACCAGTCCCAGTTTCCTTGCCCAGCAAGTACCAGTCTCACCCCTCTGGACTCGCTGGCCAAGTCACCTCCCACTCCCATTTCCAGGCCCAATGTCCAGCCAGTCCCAGTTCTCCACCTCTCAGCTTCTCGTCCAATCTGTGCCCCGCCCCCCATTTCCCATCGCCACTGTCAGTCCCAATCTCCCTCCCTGGGATACTGGTGTGTCCTCAGAGTCCCCTCGTCTCTGCCCAGCCACTCCCAGTCTCCCACCCCTGGCTCCTCATCCAATCGCAGTCTGTCCCCCATCTACTGCCTCCCAGTCCCAGTCCCAGTCTTCCCCCAGCCCCAGCTCTCCCACTCTGCCAGCCTCCAATCCCAGTTTTGCCCCAGCCCCCAAGCTCCTGTCCCAAATCTACTCCCTGCTATTCCCTCCCTGGTCCAGCCCTTGGCCCCTCTGCATTCAAGTTAGGCGGTTTCCTCCTCCATGTTGCCTGGGCACTGAGAGCCCAGAACAGAGGGTCTCCCTACTCCCAGTTCAGATGCTGAGCGCTGGACCTGGCACGGCCTACTGCAGCCCAGAGCTGCAATTGCCAGACAAGGGCTGCTCTGTGCCCGGTAACGATGGAGCCTTGGGGGAGTTTAGCTGGTAAGAATCCTCTACTGAACAGGTGCAAAGTGCAGTTTCTCGAAGGCTTTGGCCAATCTGGGGTGGGTATCCCGGGGGCTGGCGAAAGGCACGTCCCTGACAGCCAGGGCAGCCCCCTGCCAAACGTCAAGTCTCTGCCCCAAAGCACGGGGTGCGAGAGCTTCCCAAAGAACCTGCTGATGGGATTCTTGAACACAGGCAGAACAATGTATTCGTCCCTCACTTGCGTCTCAGCACGGCGCAGCTGGCTTGGCTGAGCGTGCCCAAATAGTCAGCCTGAGCCAGGGTGAACGTTAGCCCGCACAGGTCACAGCTGCCAAAGTTGTAAGTAACCGAAAACTGGGCCTTGTGCTGGGTAGCCTTGGCCTAGCCAGCACCACCGAGACTAGCGTGTTGGGTGCGGGCTAGGCTCAGACGGGGCATGGAGAAGCCCCGGTTTTTGCCTGGTGGGGTTTGAGCACGTTTTGACCAGGAGATCTGCTGGGTTCCCCGAGGGTCACCACGCTTGGTGCTGAGCCGCATTCTCCTTGGCTGCTCAAAGCAGGCGGCCCTGTCAGTGTGAGCCTATGGCCAGAGGGAGGGCACGCGCTACCCCAGCGGGTGCAAAGGGAGCTTCATTTGCATGAGCTGCCTCCCCACAGTTCCTCTAGTGACATGTGGGATGTCACCATAACTACACAGGAACTGGAGTTGAGGGGGGCGTGGGCTCCCAGACAGGCTTGGGAAGGGGAAAAAGCTTGTTAGCTAGGGCTGTGTTCAAGGGTCTTAAGTGCACTTGGCTCCCCTTTCTGGAAGTGTCTCTGCAGGGGACTCTATGCTGATGAAATGAGAATTTTGCCTTGGGGCACAGCCTAGAGAACAGCCGCAGAGCAGGGTGGGCTCTGGCCTATGCAGGACCTTTATAGACCTGACTCACTTGCCAGGTTGGGTGGTTGGTGGCACCTCTAGGCAAGCCCTACAGAGGCTCCTGGACTAATGCCCCCTGCTGATCCAAGATGTGAGAGAGGCTTGGTGAGATGGCCCAGGCAGGGACCTGTGGGAATACAGTTAGACGCATGACTGCCAAAGTATAGGTGTGGGGGCTGTACTCGTAGGTGCGGGATTTAAGGGTGTGGGGGGGTGCTGCAGCACCCTGGGCTCCCAGTCCCGCACCTGGAGTCTCGGTTGCCAGTCCCATGCCCAGGATCCTGGCTGCCACCCCATGCACCCAGGGGCTCCGGCTGTCATCCTGCACGCCTGGGGTCTTGGCTGCTGTCCCATGCCTGGGACTCTGCTGCCACCCCATGCCTGGGGCTTTGCTCCTGGCCTCAGCTCTGTGTGCATGTCCACTCGCGGGGGGGTGGGGTGGGAGGGCGTTAGGGTGTGTCTGTGTGTGTGTGGGGGGGTTGTTTTGTTTTGTTTTTAATTTGGGGAGCGTGGGGGAGATGCAAGTAGCCCGAACTGGGACAGGGACAGGTTGTCGAGAACTGGGCAGAAGAGTCTGTGCCCACTAGAGCCTGGACTGGACCCAAGAGTCTCACCAGTCCTCTGCTGTCTGGAGATATCTGTGAAAACCACTGAAAAGTGTCTCACCTTGTGCTGGGCCACCTAGAGGTGGACAACCTTCTACTGCTCTCAATTACCCCTTTAGTTCAAGTGGCAGAGATCTGTGTGGTGGATCTAAAGGTTCCAACCCTGCTGATGACCCATGTGGATGGAATTTTGGTTTTTAGTTTGCTTTTGTTTAAAACCTAGGAAATCACACCCAAAAATCTGTTCAAAGAGGGTAATGAAAGTTGCAAAGTCTAAGGCCTTGGCTACACTTGCGAGTTACAGCGCAATAAAGCAGCCCCAGGCGCCCTAGCTCACTCCCCGTCCACACTGGCAAGGCACGTAGAGCGCTCTGACTCCGCAGCTACGGCGCTGCTGGTTCTCCACCTCGGCGAGAGGGATAACGTTTGCTGCCCCCCCCCCCCCCGAGCGCCGCAGCGCCAGTGTGAATGAGGTGTTGCATCACTGCGCTATGATCAGCCTCCGGAAACATCCCATAATCCCCTTAAGTGAAGAGTGGCCTCTCTTGTCATTGTTGTGCAATCGGCTGCAGGAATGTGGAAATGCCCTTTCAAAGCTCTGTTTCGGAGAAGCCGGCTGCTTATCAGCTCCAGTGAGTGAGAGAGAGGCAGGAGGGGAGGGGGGGTCTGAACTTACCAGACAGCATGCTGACACACTCTCAGCACCCCAAAAACCCACTCTCTCTCCCCCCACATACACACAACACGCTTCCTGTCACACTCCACCCCACCCCCTATTTGAAAAGCATGTTACAGCCACTTGCATGCTGGGATAGCTGCCCATAATGCACCACTCCCAATGCTGCTAATGTGGCCACGCCAGTGCACAAGCAGCTGTCAGTGTGGACAGACTGCAGCGCTTTCCCTACTGCGCTCTCCGAAGGCGGGTTTAACTCCCGGCGCTCTACATCTGCAAGTGTAGCCAGACCCTAACACACAAACATTAGGAAATACCGGTATTAAGGTTGTATTGCAACCTTAATTCAGCCTCCTTATGCCTGGGCTTTGTGATACAGTCTTTAATGACATGAGCACATACTATTTTTGCCCCTAGGACCCCTGCCCAACTGAGTGCCCAGGATGGACCTGTACTGGGAGGAATCGAAGTTGCTAGGGAAGGCAACTGGTGTCTGTAGGGCCCCTGCCTCACTGTTGTGAGTGAAGGAGGCAGGGGCTTGCAGGAAGAGAAAAGCTGGTCTCCTGGTTAAGGCAGTTGACTGCTGCCCTGGAGAGCTGGACTCTATCCCTGCCTCTGCCACCGAGTGCCTGTGTGATTCTGGGCAAGTCCCAACTCAGACTTTCCACGTGAGCACTAAGTGTGTGCTCCGCATTTGTTTGGGTGTCTGACTCGGCTCCTGTGCTGTGATTCGCAGAAGTGCTCAGCACGCACAGCTGCAGGCAATGGGAGCTGGGCTTTGACCGCAGAGCCGTGGAATGCTAAGAACTGAACAATCAGGTCCTAGGTGTCTCCAAGTGGGCATCCAAAAGTAGTGGCTACATTTGACTGGAATCTCTCGGTTTGCCCAGCTGTAAAATGGGGCTAATGGCAGCCCTCACCTCCGGGGGGATGTGACGCTACATGCACTACTACTGGGGAAATGCTGAACTAATGCTGACCGCATTGGAGGGAAAGCCCATGAGGAACCTAACACCTCTGTCTCCGACCAGGGGCTCACTACAAGGCAATAAATAAGGCCTGGGCTACCCACAGAACAATGAGGAGCAAAGAACTGATCGGTCAGTGAGCACCGTCTATCCTGGGGCTGGGCAATCTTCCCTTGAGGTTAGAGCGAGCCCAGAGCCCACGGCAGCCCTGGCTGTGCAGACAAATGTCGTATTCGCTGTGTTTAGCACATTCCCCTCACCAGCTGCAAGCCTCTGCTCCCAGGGGAGGTGCCGAGCCCTGGGACGCACCCGCAGTAAATAGCTCATACATCAGCTGGGTTACCTGCCTGGCCTCTTTGATGTCCACTGCTGGGTGTGTCCTCTGCCTTCCTGTCCCCCTCAGACCTGGGGCTGCTCACCCTGGGGAGCGTGGTCCTGTCCCCAGCCCGGCCTTGTTTGTTTCCCACAGAGCTCGCAGCCTCTAGCCGGGAGGACAGGAGAAAGGCCTGGAGATAAGGCACATTCCTTTGCAGGCTGAATGGCCCAGTGTGTGTGTGTGCGTGCGTGCGTGCGTGCAGGGCTGGCTTTAGGTCAATTCCACCAATTCCCCCGAATCGGGCCCCGCGCCTAAGAGGGCCCCGCGCCCAGTGGCAGGGCCGCCGGGGTGGGGGCAAGTGGCCGAGAATCCCTTCCCTGGCTAGAGGGTCCTTTTTAATTTTTACTCACCCGGCAGCACTCCGGGTCTTCGGCGGCACTTCAGCGGCGGGTCCTTCACTCGCTCTGGGTCTTCGGCAGCACTTCGGAAGCAGGTCCTTCAGTGCCACCAAAGACCCGGAGCGAGTGAAGGACAAACCGCCGAAGACTACGAGTGCCGCCCGGTGAGAACAAGCCCCACATGTGTTTTTACGTGGGGTTTTTTTTTTCAGTCATCCCTGCCGGGGCCCTGTCAAAACTGTTTGAATCGGGCCCCGCACTTCCTAAAGCCGGCTCTGCGTGCGTGTGTGTGTGAGAGAGAGAGAGAGCGAGAGATGGCCTGGTTGGGAGCCCCTTTTCTGGCCCCAAACCCCACACTTGCTGCAGCCAGTCTCGCAGGGGTTCCTGACCAAGTGGCCAGCACCTGCCGCCGTTTGCTGCCAGAGACCCCTCGCTGTACCGCAGAGCCCGAGCAGCACAGGGCATTCGGCTCTGCCCCCGATAGGCACTGGGGCATTGCCGGGGCAACCAGGGGAAGGACATTGGCACTGCCTGGATCCTACGTGCAACACCCCTGCAGGGGACTCTGTGCGCACGTCCACTTGGGCCAGGGGTTGCTGTGTGTGTTGGGAGGGTGAGGTGTTCCTGGGGGGATGAGTGTACAATTCCCCGTGTGCACATGCATGTGCATATCCCTTAGGGTGCACCCCTGAGGTGCAGTGCTGCATGCATGCTCCCAGTAGTGGAGTCTGGGAAACCAATCCAGTTCAGCTGTCCCTCGGAGACTCTCTGCAGCCTTGGGAAGCCCTAGCTCCCCGGCCTGCAGGGGATGTGAGCTGGGCCAACCTTGCTGGGCGATTAGGCCTTTGCTGCAGCCCCATTCCAGGCCTGCGCAAAGCAAAGCATGAAAGATTGATTCCTTGGCACGTCACTCTGCATTGCACAGCGCAGTACTAGAGCAGGGGCTTCCGGCCGCCAGAGGGGCTGGCACCCAGAAACTACTGACCATGCAACACTGGTTTTCTCCCCCCGCCAGCAATGGGGCCTGCAGAATGGTTTGCATGTGGGGAGCTCCCAGCAGCTGCAGGCCCAGGCTCTGCTAGCAGGAAACGCGGCAGGGAAAGGGGTGGAACCCCTGGCTGTAGGGAAAGCCCCAGCTGCTCTCAGCCCTGAGCTGCAGGGGATGGTGTCCCTGCGCCCGCCAGGCCCTGCCAACACCTGTTCCAGCTGCGGGTACCTGCTTCCCTGGGAGCTGCAGATCAAACGCTAATTACAGCTTTAATCACCACCAGCTGGGTCAGTGCTGGGCCGGAGCCAGAGCTCAGGGCTGCCTGGAGACAGCCGACTCTGCACCAACCCCCTTCCTGTTAGTCAGGGCTAAGCCAGAAATCTCTGCCCCAGGTGCTTTGAAACGCAAGCCGGCCGGCCGGCCAGGGGGCACGATGCCCCAGTGCAAGCCCCAGTGGTGGGCAGGCGAGTGATGAGTAACGGCGGTGCCGCAATGCACAGGGTGCGACGCCTCGTGCTGTGTGATCGGGGGGCTCCCTGCAGGAGCCTGTAACTGGCCTGGAGACCTCCCACTGCAGGGCCCGCGCTCGGGGCCATCCGCCCACCCCACGTTGTACTGCTTCAGCAAAACTGGTTTCACCCGTGGTGGGAGCGCCGGGATACTGACATGAAGGAGCTCACACTTCGCCCCTACGCTTAAAGGCCTATTTGCTGGCAAGCTGCTCACGTCGCCTCCATCTGCAGCATCCACCTGCGGCCACTTTGGTATAAAAATCACACCTATACCCGAAAGTGTTTATACTGGTCTGAAAGCTGTGTGTGCACCAGGCTAAGAGCTTGTCCCTACTCCACAGGGGAGGGGGAAACTGAGGCACAGAGCCAGGCAGTGATTTGCCCAAGGTCTCCAAGCAGGTTAGCTGTAGAGCTGGGATTAGCATGCGTATTTCCAGGCCAGCGCTCTATCCACTAGCCCTGCATTTGCCGCTCACTAACATACGATTGAGCCCCTTGGCTCTAATGGAGTCATTCCGGATTTACACTGGGGTAAATCAGAGAGGAATGTGACCCAGACTAGGGAATGATCACTCCTCTCGCCCCCCCTGCCCCGCCCACACACGCCAGCCCAGGCAGCAATGAAGACTCTGCACGCGGCCACGGCTGGTTTCCACATTTATTCAATAAGTTGTAAAGACATCAACACATGCTGAGCATGACAGAGGCGATTCAGACAAAGGAAATTACAAAGCCCTTAAAGATTCCCAGCGAGGCCCATACAGAGAGACAGGACATGAATCCCAAAGCACGGCTTCAGGAGACTACAGATCCTAGTATGCCTTGCTCCACCTTGAGGCCACGTGGCTTTAAGCAGCTTGGCTCAAGAGGGAGCAAGGCATGCTGGGCGTTGTAGTCTCTGCAGGCCATGTCTCTGTATTCAAGACAGCCAGCTAAAATGTGCTCCATTTTAAGCAAACCAGCTACAGCCCTGACCTCTCAGCAGGTTCCTGCAGCTGGTAGGATTTGGGCTCCCCTGGCGTCAGAGGCAGAGCCACCCAGTCTGGCCACATCTCAGGAGTGCTTCTATAGCCCCATGGCAAAGCAGATGCATTGAGCGAGTCCTTCGCTAAAGCAGTCTGCCTGCTCTTGCTGCAGAGCTGGGGAAAGCATCGCCCGTCCTAGGGGACGGGAGAGACATTCTGGGATTGTGGCTGGAGGGGGGGGGGATCCCGATGGCCTGCTGAGACGGGGACGCTGCCCTGAGTGGGGAGAGGATCCATATTGCACAGCTGAGGGGCAACAACACAGGGGGATGCTAGAGTTGAGCTCCGGGCCAGCTCCCTTTCCTCCCACTCCCACCCCACCCAGGGCACGCCAGCCCCACTAATAAATGGGTCATTCAGAGGCCCCTCTTCATGGTCCTGGGGCAATGCAGTGGGACAGCGTGTTCGTGAAGCCTGGTCTGGCTGTAGGTGTAGGCTGTGGGTGGGGGAATGGCGGGGTCTGACAACCCCCATGTCAGTCTGCTCTACCGCACAGGACAAGGGACTTCTTAGCGCTGTGGGAGGGGTAAAAGTCAAGGGGGCTCTACAGCCCGGGCAGAGGTAGGACTGCCAACTTTGCAGAAAACTGAACACCCCTAACCCTGCCCCTGTCCTGCTCCTTCCCTGAGGCCCCACCCCATCTCTGAGGCCACGCCCCCACTCATTACATCCCCCCCTCCCTCCATTGTTTGCTCTCCCCCATCCTTGCTCACTCACTCATTTTCACTGGGCTGGGGCAGGGGGTTGAGTGCCCCCCTTGGCATGCCAGTGTTCTTCTGGGAGACAAAGGGTTCCCCCCATACACGAGACCTATATAAGGCAGGGGAGTGACATCATTGAGGTTCTCCTCTGCCTCCCCAAACAAAGAGACACTGGGAAACACCTGAAAAGAAAAACTGAACGGAGAGGAAAGGGGCTATGGGAAGGGGAAAGGACAGCTCAGTGGTTTAAGCATTGGCCTGCTGCCAGAGTTGTGAGTTCAATCCTTGAGGGGGCCATTTAGGGATCTGGGGCAAAAATCTGTCTGGGGATTGGTCCTGCTTTGAGCAGGGGGTTGGACTAGATGATCTCCTGAGGTCCCTTCCAACCCTGAGATTCTATGATTCTATGTACACATGAGTGCTGGGTGAATCCGCTCACAGAGCTGACTTCAGGCTGGGTCTGCAGCAAAACACGGAGAGGGAATCCAGGCTGGTGAAACAGGAGGGGCTCAGTGAAAGCCCAGTTGGCCTGGAGCTAGGTGTATGTGTGTGCGGGAGCGGGTGTGTGTGAAGTGCGTGTGTCTACAGTGAGTGTCCATGTGCAGTTTGTGCCTGGTGTGGAGGAGCAGGATGTGTGTGCAGTGTGTCTGTTTTGCTGCTCTCAGGTCCCTGCCCGAGATTCTCCGAGTGGGGTGAGAGCTGCTCTCTGGCCTGGCTGAGTCCCGAGTGGGGGCTGGCTGTGGGATTTAGTGCTGCCGGCGTGTCAGGGGCTCTGGGTACAGGGGATACTATGGGGCCCTGCCTGAGCAGAGAAGGGTGCTGGCTCAAACACCCCACCAGTGTCCCGCTGGCTGCGACTGATGCTTCCCGGTTGAGCCCTGGGTACGTGAGAGGTGAACGTGCCCCTGCCAGGCACAGCGCCCGCTCGGCTCAGCAGAGGGGCCGGCGGCCGGCACTGCCAGGTACCCGCTGGCTACCTCAGGCTGTCCGCTGCGGGGGCAGGACAAGCCATCAGGGCAATTCGTACCATACGTGGCTGACAAGCAGCACCAGGGCAGCCTGTGGCTGTGGCAAGGGCTGGTTGGCCTGGGGGTCGTACCCCAGAGTGACGGGCACAATGGCCACTGAGAGCAGGGACTCCTGCATGCGCACCAGAGATGGGGAGGCTGGGTGCTGAGAGACGGGAGCTGGGCGTGTCCCCCGGCTGTTAGTTAGTTGTACAGGAGCCCAAGTCATGTGGGTCTGGGGGAGAGGGTTTATGGGGGGTGGGTGCTGGGGTTCTGGCCCACATGTGGGCACTGGGGGGGGGGTCTGTATGGCCGTAGGTACTTAGCTGCTCACCCCAGCGTGCCGAGCTGGACCTGCGGGAGAGGATGGTACGTTGTCCCCTGCCCGGGGAGGCGCCAGCCCTCTGGGCCCTGTCTAGATACTGGTGTCTGGAGCCCCTGGGCCTGGCAGCGGGAGGACAGACCAGCCACGCTGGCCCACGGCTCCTCAACAACAAGGCAGCAGAGGGGCTCTGCCTGCACCCAGTCCTTGGCTATGGGCACCGGCTTGCTGGACTCACCACCTTCTCCCTCTCCTTGCCCCTCCCCCCTCCCCCAGCCTTCCTCCCCCCCCCCACGCCTTCTTCCTCCTCCCCGCAGCCTTCCTCCTCCTCCTCCCCAGCTTTCTGCCTCCTCCCCCCCCCTCCCCCCCGGGTCTTTCGCCTCCTCTCTCCCAAGTCTCACACCCAGCCAGACAGTCCCCACCTGCCGAAGGAATGGGACACTCCCCCAGCCGTCACCCCTTTCCCTGGCTGCAGCAGCCACACTCCTCCAGCCAGGGCTGAGATCCATGGGCTGTCTTGGGCGCTGTGGGGTGGAAGGGAGTGGGGGGCATTCCAGCCCATTGGGGCAGCCTCGCTGTGTGCACCGTGCAGCTTCCATGGCACGTGTGGGGAGCAGGGGGGGACCCCAGCCTCTTCCACCCGCATCCGTTTGTCACTCTGCAGGGACCAGGGAGGTTCAAGGGCCTGTCTAGGCAACACCGTTCACATGCCCGACAGGGGCGCAGCCCAGCAAGGTGTGAGTTCCTGCTGCAGCTAAGATTCTTCTTACCCAGAGTGCAACAGCCCGGCCCACAGCCCGGAGCCAAGCGGGGGCTGCAGCTATAGCCCCACCAGGCAGCACGGAAGGGGGCGTGACCGCTACAAGGCTGGCTGAGCCCACGCCCCTGACCAGCCAGCCCTGCACTGCCGCTCGTGGGTCCGTGCGCCCCAGAGCACCTCCCGCCAGCAAGTCGCGATTGCCCTCGGTGCGAGCCCCCCCAACCCAATGTCACTGCTGGGAGGAGAGCGCTTCGCAGCTGACTGGCCATGATGCAGGTGCCCAGAGACTGGCTGTGGCAGACCCTTGCCAAGCGGGAGAACCCAACCGGAAGAGCAGGTTTATTTCCCCGCTAACGGTGTGCTACATACATGGGGAACAAACCCCAGAGAGAGAACCAGGCCCCGGTTTTTAAAGCCACGCATGCAAAGGGCCCATGCATGCAGGTAGGCAGGCGTGCCAATCTCCACTGGCACACGGGTATCAGCCCTCCACTGTCTGCACTCGTGGCTTTTAAAATCATGAGTGGCCCTTTGAATCCTGGCTGGTGCCGACTGAAGGGACCAATCAGGGCATCGGTGGCTGCTGCCGATTGGGTGTTGACTGCTCCACCTCCCTTCCCCCAGCCTGGGGCCCTCTCCCTCCCTTTCAGAGTTGCAGCAGTGAGGAGCAATGGCAAATGTGCCACGTGGCTGTGGGGGGAGGGGGCTCACCCAGGCGATGCTGACATCGACTGGACAGGACAGATGGTGGCGGTGTGGCTGTGGGAGAGTTGGCCAGAAGTTGCCCCCTTGTTCTAGTAGATACTGTACAAGATTTCCATAGAGAGAGTTACACGGGGGGGGCGGGGTGTACAGTCAGATGTGGGCTGGGGTCTCTAACAGGGAAAATATCACAGATCACAAGAGTATAAAAAAATAATCAGCCCAGCTTTGCGTTGCTTGGTCACTCACGCAGCTCCTGCTGGCCTGCTGCTCATCGGCCCGTGTGTCTGAGGGGCGTGCACATGGCATCGGTTAAAGGGGGAGCCACTCCGCCTGGTGGGGGACGTACACTTCCGCGGCACCCCAGCCAAGGCCAGCATTGCAGTCTGAAGGTTACTGAAGGTCAAGGCAGCAGAAGCAGAGTGAGGGCTCTGGGAAGGTGGGTGGTTCCCGGGCATGGCGGTGGTGGAGGATGGACTCACGGAGACACGGACGCAGGCGGGGTTTGGCTGCCAAGAAGCACGCTAGCAGAGAGCGGGGGCTTCCTCCTCAGTCCTTCAGGTTGGCTTCCGAGACCCCCTGGGCCATCAGCTCAGCCAGGACATTGTCCAGGTAGTTGGGGTCAGGGTAGCCGTGGCCAGTGAGGTTGGAACCAAACTCTGTCTTGTGGTGGATCTCGTTCCACACCACAGTGTCGCACTCTCCCGTCGTGCTGGATGTGCCAATGGTGAAGATGAGCCGGCGGTCCCATGCCACAATCAGGAGCTTCAGAACCTGTGGGGCCAGAGGGAGGTCACACACCCTGCCAGGCCATGGCATGCCCCAGTTGGCCTAGAGCACCCTGCTTTGGGTCTGAGATCCCTCCCCTGTCTGCCAGCATGTACTGGGAGGGGAGAGGCCTGCCTGCCCCTGATTGATATCGGGGGCTCAGCCCTGACATCTCTCTAGCGCAGGAGCGGCAGCTCTGCCAAGTCACAGCAGATCTGGTCCAGGAACCCAGAGGATCGTTCCCCAGAGAACGATTGAGCCTGGAGCTTGGTCTGATCCGGGGTCTGCCCCACCCTCCAGAACAGGCTATTCCTTTCTGCAGAGCACGGGAATATAAGCCCCCCACAGAATAACCCTCTGTGGCCTTGACACTACGCCCCAGCCTTGCGTGTCGTTTCCCCCGGCACGGGCTCAGACCCGCCCTGCAACAGGACGGAGGCAGAGACAGCGTCTGACTACCACAGCCAACAAGCCCCGTGGAAACGTACGGCCCCGTCCTGTGCGGTCACTGACTCAGGCTGTTCCCTCTCATTTCTTATGACCATGTGCGGAATGAATATTGTTATTTGCACCAATATGGAGGTGATGTGTGGTGGGGCCGAGGGGTTTGGAGTGTGGGAGGGGAATCAGGGCTGGGGCAGAGGGTTGGGGTGCGGGAGTGGTGTGGGCTCTGGGGTGGGACTGGGGATGAGGGGTTTGGGGGTTAAGCTGCCCCAGGGCTGAGGTGGGGAGAGAGGACTCCCCCCAGCCCTCTCTCACCCAGCAGCTCCAGCTGGGCCGGGCCGGGGAAGGGGCTCCTCTCCCCACCTGCACGGCCCCGATAGTTATTTCGATTAAATACTAAGGCTTTGAGGGGCTGAAGTTAGCACGGCTGGATTAGCAATGGAGCCTAGGGGAGTTAGGACACTGAACATCCTGGCATTTGTGCACCCAACTCCCTTCTGCTCCTTTGAAATCGCCAACTCAGGTGTACGTTGCCAAGGGTGTAACGTGCCAGGCCCCATCACAGCACACACACGACTGTCTCCAAGCCCCCGTGCCAGGGCTGGTGCTAGTGACCTGGCACAACCCACCTTGGGCCGATAGTCAGCAAACCCGTTTAACCCCCTGGCTGCAGCAGAAGAGCTGGGAGTATTGCAGCAGCTGTCACAAGGGGGTGACCCTCTCTCCCCCCGCCAATGCCACCTCCTTGGGGGGGAGATGCAGCCGGCTTTGTGGGAGGCAGCCAGGCTCCAGGGGGCAGGCCACTCACCTTCCTGCCTTTCTCGTTGTCCGGTAGGTAGCAGTGCCGGGGGAAGCCTCGGGCTGTGAACTTCTTCCCGGGGTTCGGGTGCTCTGGGCCCTGGCAGGGAACAAAGCAGACGCTGGGGAAATCCGGCAGCCAGCGGCTGTGCCTGAAACACGTCACCCCCCTGCTCAGCTGCCCACGCCCGCCGCATTGCCTAGGAGGCCCTGGCTGGACGGGGCTGAGAGGGATGCATTGGTCGCCAATGGGGCACAACCTGCAGGCAGCAGGGGTCTGAGCGAGATCCCGCCTGGCAGGGCATGGCCAGGAGTAGGAGATGGGGCCTGGCCTAGACCCACCACCAAATCCATGGGGTGTCACACCCTGGGCTGCCTCTGCTGGAGGAAGCAGAGGAGGCCCCAGGCTCTCCATCAGTTGCCCCCAGGGCCGGGGGAGCGGTCTGAGAATGTGGCACGCTTAGCCACCTGGGGGATTCCCGAGGGGGAGGCAGCAGGCGCCAACTCTTCTGGGCCACGCAGCCGCCGGCTGCCCCCGGAGATTCCTCTGTCCCTGGGCGGCTCACCTGGATGCCCGTGGGGATGTCGTAGACGATGCGGATGGTTTTGGATTCCGTGTAGCCTGGCAGCGAGTGTGGGATGATGTGGAACTCCATCTTCCCTGGGGGCTGGGTCCCGGTCTTCTCCCCATAGATGGCCTTGCAGGTGGGGCACTGCAGGCTGCCATCCTTGGGGGCAGAGGCACAAGGTGAGGAGGGTCAGCCAGCCAGGCAGCGCATCCCGCTCCAGGGCACAGGCTGCAAAGAGGCTAATGGGGGACTCTCCCTTTGCTGGGTACTATCCCTCCCCCAGGCAGGACTGTTCGGACCCCTGGGACCGGCTGGGACAAGCCTGCCGAAGGCCCTGGAGGGGCACCAAGGCTGGAACTGACCGACTCTCCGCTGAGGGCCCAGAGCTGGTTGTGAGGACCCTGCGGGGCCGTGGGATGGGTCAGGGAGGGGAGCACTGCCCTAGGCACAGGGGGCTCTCAGCTGGGAAGGCTGGTGGCCTGCTGGAGGCACCTCTCCCCCCCCGGCCCAGCTCTCACCTTGTTGCCGTTGTTGTACATGGCCACCAGGCAGAGGAGGTGGTACATGTGCCCGCACTTGCCCAACTTGCCCACCAGCTCCGGCTTGGCGCCCCTGTGGCTGAGCAGGCCCTCGTAGCCGGACGAGGCCACCAGCCTCTCCATGCAGATGGTGCAGTCCTGCCGGGGAGCGGGGTGTTACCAGAGCTGGGCTGCTCCCGCCACCCCCAGCCAGAGCCCAGCAGCCGGTTCCACCATCACCCAACTGCCCATGGGCCAGGCGGCAGGTTTGGGCCTCTGGCGCCTTTGCAGCCTTTGGGGACACGTCCTTCCCATGGCACCTGCTCCGCCAGCCGGCTTGGCTATCCCGATGTCTGCCTGCCCCACCGCCCTGCCCAGCTCCTCGCCCACTCTTCTGCCCCCCCTGCCCCCACTGTTCCCTCGGCCCCGTCCCTGTCCCCACTGCCCCCTTGGCCCTGCCCCTGCCCACACTGTCCCTTCGGCCCCTTAGCCCTGACCCTCACCCCGCTCCCTGCCTCTCTCTCCCGGAGGACTGGCCTGTCTGAGCGTAGCAGGCACTGGCCTGCACCAGGGCCAGGGCTAGATGCATGGGGCAGTTAACCCCGTTGTCCCATCCCTTTCAGGCGCTTCGGTGCCACTGCAGAACTGGTGCAGCAGCAGCGAGTGGTTGAAACCCGGGGACCCAAGGAGCTGGAAACTGGGCCAGGGGCTCTGCAGCGAGCTCCTGGAGCCAGGCTAGCAAAGGAGACACGCAGCAAACTCCCAGTGAGCGCAGGCTCCCATGCCATCTCAGAGCACCCACCGCAACCTCCATTTGCCCCAAACACAGTGGGCACTTATACCAACCCCCTCCCACCCCCGCCAGGGCCAGGGGAGTGTGGAGAAGGGAGGGCCTAGGACGAGTCGGGGGGTTCTCCAGGGGGTATTTTGGGAAAGGAGTGCTGCCAGGCTGGTGTCCTGGGGGGCAGAGTTAAGGGGGTGGCAGAGGTGAGGGGTGTGCCTGTGGGTGGAGGAGCTGCTGGGGTCCCTGCTGCTGTAGCTTTATACCAGGTGTGTTGTGTGTCACTGTGTCCAAGAGTTCACCGTGTATTCACAGGCCACCGCAGGGCTGCCACTCAGACAGGCCTAGTCATCCAAGCCGAGCCCCGGCCCTGGGTACTGTCCGATCCCAGCCGCCCCAGGGCAGGGCCACTGGTGAGACCCGTGCGCAGGTGCTCACCTCGTCCGGCGGGCTCTTCACCTTCTGGATGTACCGGCGCACCACATCCTCAGGATTCTTGCCTGCCCCACGAGAGAAGCAGAGGGTCAGATTGCACTCTCATGGCCCACAGCGCCCCAGGGCCACCCACTCAGCTGGGCCATGCAGCCCCTTGCTCACAGCTAGGAGCTACATCTTTCGGGGGGGGGCCAGGATTGGACGGACACAGAAATCGGCTTGGCTGGAGCGGGTGCGATCTCTGGGTCAGGGCTGGAGGAGGTTGAACCCACCCCTGGGAGTTCAGAGACAGCCTTTCATCAGCTTGGGGAGGTCCATTCCTGGAAGCCACAGGAGCAAGTGAGCATGAAGAGGGAATCCCGCTGCCCCCTAGGACAGGGGTCCCTGCAGCTCAGGGCTGAGGGGCCCAGCTCAGAGGCAGAATCAGGAGGCAATTCCCTGGCCAGGCTGGCACAGAGCTCCACACTCCGGCTCTTTGGGGCTGGGATCCCCGGGGACGAGGCTGCCGTGGTTTTCGGAACAGGGAGAGCTGGGTGAGGCGTGGGTCACACCACATGCACTGAACCACGGGCTCCCTCCTGCTTCATCGCAAACACAGCATCCAAGGGGGGATAGCTCAGTGGTTTGAGCATTGGCCTGCTAAACCCAGGGATGTCAGTTCAATCCTTGAGGGGGCCACTTAGGGATCTGGGGCAAAAAAATCAGTACTTGGTCCTGCTAGTGAAGGCAGGGGGCTGGACTCGATGACCTTTCAAGGTTCCTTCCAATTCTAGGAGATAGGATATCTCCATTAATTAATTAAAAACCAGGGCAAACTACTACTGACCCTTTGGGACCCAGCCCCTCACCCCAAGCTTGCTTGCCACCAGCCAGCCTGTCACTGTGCCCCACAAGAGTGTGGGGAGGGGTGGAGTGCAGCCTGCATGCCTCTGCGAATACATTCGGCATTTGGTGCGTGTGATTGGGCGTCCGGTCACATGGTATTGATGACATAACCTTTATAAACAGCCGCTGGGGAGCAAATTCTCTCAGGGAGGAAATGGGCTCAACTGCTCGCTGCTCCTCTCTGATCCTTTCAGGAGGGCCCTGGTGCACTTTGCACTGATGTAACCCAATGGGCAAATCTCTTCTGATGCCCACACGTTAGGGAGGCTAGAACTGGTGGAGCCGAGGCAACTGCCCTGGCCCTGAGTTACAGAAGCACTGAGTCTGGGCCTCTGCAGCTGGGGAAGGTTCGTGAAGGTGGAGCTGATCTCCCCCATGCTGGTACCTCCAGGTACCTCTCCCAGCTGCAGGAAGCTCTGCGGCTGCAGCACAGAAGTGAGGGTGGCAATCCCGTGACCCCCCCACAACAGCTTGGGATTCCACAGGACCCCCTTTGGGTCAGGACCCCCACAGTACAACACTGACATTTCAGATGTGAACATGTGAAATTGACCAATTAAAAAACCCTCTGGCTGTGAAATTGATCAAAATGGACCATGAATTTGGTAGGGCCCTAAAAAATAATCCCTCCCACCATCTGTCTGTCTTGTCTATTTAGATTGGAAGCTCTTTGGGGCTGGGCCATTATATCTGTGCACACCTAGCACGGGGCCCTGAGCTCTGCTGGGCTAACCGAATCCACAGCCCCATTGCAGCAGCTTGCAGGTAAGAATACTCTTAGGTTCATATTGCTCAAGACAATACGGGATCATCAGATCATCTCATCTGACCCCTGCAGATCACAGGCCATTACCCCTGGATTCAGCCCAATAGCTTTGATTGGCTAAAGCACCTCCCCTAGTCTTGAGTTGTAGATCTCACAAGCTGGAGAATCCACCACTTCCCTTGGCAGTTGGTTCCAGTGGTTACTCACCCTCACTGTCAAATATTCATGTCTAATCTGAATTTATTTGGCTTGAACTTCCAGCCATAGGTTCTTGTTCCGCCTTTCTCTGCTAGTCTAAAGAGCCCTTTAGTAGATGGTCTTTTCTCTGTCATGCACTGTCACCTCTCAGCTAAACAGATCACCTCCTGACGTCTCACTGCCAGGCATTTTCTCCAGCCCTTGACTCATTCAGCGCTGGTAACAATCACTGAAAAGCAATCCCACTAGCACCCCCTTTGGGGTGCCAGGTCTCCCAGGAAGCTGCCTGGCCTTGTGCTGTACATTAGCAGTGAGGATGACACGCCGAACCCTTCCTGTGTATGACATCCTTTGTTCCCTAGTACCTGTGAAATGGCCCATGGGTAGCGTACCAGATGGCACAATAATCCCGTGGCTCTGGGGTATCAGGGTGAAGGTGCCTGGGCATCACCCTGGGCACGATTTCAGAAGCTGGGCATAACACCTCTGGAGAGCTGAGTTTGAATCTGGCTGAGGCATGAAAATGCATTTGAGGGTCTTGGGCCAGGGTGTAGGGGATGTTTGTCTATATTAGAAAATCACTGTGCAGTTTGGCAGAGAAGCCCAGGACTGGGATAGCAGGGGGCTGGGGGTCAGGGGTGAGGCTCGGAGTGGGGGGATGATGTACCCCAGGCTGTACTGTGCCTTGATGTGGCTATTGGCCTCTCCATGTCATTTACCAAAGCCTGGTGATGAAAGGAAGAGGCAGGCTTGGTTACAGGTCCAGGGCCATGCTCCCAGCTAGATCCCAGCGCTGGGATTGTCAGGATGGAGGCCAGTGCGTGTGGCTCTGTGGGCTGGAGAGAAGGTGCTGTCTCTTACTCTTTTTGAGGTGCTTCTTCTTGGTTTTCCTGCAGACGCCATTGATCCCAGGCACCGGCTTGATGTCGCTCTTGCTCACGGGCGGAGGGTGCAGGATAGGCTTCGGGGCCCGGGTCAGGCATACAGGCAGCCCAGCAGCACACATCAAAATGCCTGTCATACCTGGGTCACAGAGAGATGGTAAGGCCAAGCGCAGACACTTAGGGGGCTGGGCGATTATCTCCCCACTGAGTGGCAACAATCACAGCATGGGACAGGATCCCCTGCAGTCTATGAGACTGATCTCAAACGCTGGGATTGTCCCTTCGCTTTGAAGTGAGATGGGTAGGTTGTACCAGCCAACCATCCATCCATCCATCCATCCATCCATCCATCCATCCATCCATCCATCCATCCATCCGGCATACCCAACCAACCAACCATCCATCCATCCATCCATCCATCCATCCATCCATCCATCCGGCATACCCAACCAACCAACCAACCATCCATCCATCCATCCATCCATCCATCCATCCGGCATACCCATCCATCCATCCAGCATACCCAACCAACCATCCATCCATCCATCCGGCATATCCAACCAACCATCCATCCATCCGGCATATCCAACCAACCACCCAACAAACCATCCATCTGGCATACCCAACCAACCAACCAACCATCCATCCATCCGGCATACCCAACCAACCAACCAACCATCCATCCATCCGGCATACTCAACCAACCATCCATCCATCCGGCATACCCACCCAACCTCCCACCCAACCATCCATCCATCCATCCATCCATCCATCCATCCATCCATCCATCCATCCATCCATCCACACTCACCAGGATAAGTAAGTACCATCTCACTGGGCAGTGTTATACCCAGGAGTGGACAGCTGCCCAGAGCTGGGGGAATTCCAGCTGCTCTTACCTGCCAGGGCAGGATGGACTGGTCCGGTTCCATTCAGATTCTTAACCGGGAGGGCAGGAACCCTGAAGCAGAGACAAGAGAAGTGAAGCAGAAAGCACATTTAGTTGTTGGACGGTAGTGCCCAAACGGCTAAGCCACACCCTCGGAAACCACTGCTCCAGGAGAGAGAGAGGGGAGCGGAGGTGAAGTTAGTGATGTTGCTCCCCACACCATGGTACCTTTCCAGGGGTGATGCCAGAATCCCTTCCAAGAGAGTGCAGAAATCCAGCCCAGGATCTAAAGGCGACCGCTCCTGCATTCAGAGTATTAGCTAATGGAGCATGACCCACAGCCAAACCAGCAGAGAGCCCCTCACTCTGTCAGACCCTCCGAACGAGGATCCCTGACCCAGAACCTGTGTGCCCATTGGTGCCCTTGTTACATCAAGGCTGGCAGCAGAGTCAGGCTGCGGGGGATTCTATCTCATAGCACAGGATACAAATGATCCCCCTGAACTCAGTGGGGGTCCCACCAGCTCCTGCAGTGGACACTGGACATCCCAGGCCAGCAGAGAACAGCGGCATGCCCCTCTGGCTGATGGAGACAGGTGAGGAGGGGCTTTGGGGGGAGCTGCACCAGCTGGTGAGTTTGCCTGCACCTGAGGCTAGGGATCTGGTGGGAGTGGGCCAGAGAGAGAGACTGAAGTACGAGTAGAGGGGAAAAGCAAACAGCTCCCCAGGGAATGCTCGAGGGGCGGAGTTCCTAGAGGGGCATCCTTGTTCTAGGGTCCCCAGCAGGAGACCTGAGCCCCTAACCTGTTGTGTACAGCTCCTGCTAGGGAGCCCCTGGGCTCTGCTTCCAGCTCTGGTGCTGACTCACTGGGCAGCCTTGGGGCAATGGCCCTCCCCTGCCTCAGTTTCCCCATTGCGCATTGAGGATAATAAGCCTTCCCCTCTCTCCTTGGGTGAGGCATTCTGAGTCCTGCAGGCGAGAAGGGACCAATCCATTACACGACAGCCAGAGCATGTCCATTCTGCCCTAGGATCCAGGCTCCCTCCGATCCCCACCCCACAAATACCCACTGATCTCCTTCCCCCCCCAGCACTCTGTTCTGCTTTTCAGGCTGAACACCCCCGAGACAGGCTTGTCTCCCCCCTCTCCTGCTCCTTCCCCTGGACCAAACATTGGGGCGGTGGGCCAGGAGTCCTGGGGGGAGGGGAAGCCCATGGGGGGGCCAGGTTGTGCCAGCACCAGGCCCAGTCAGTGCGGTAATGAAGAGCCCAGCCGCCGGGGGTGATGAGAGCTTTCCCAGACATTTGGTCAATTAAGCCCTGTGCTCAATCGTGTTAATTAGCGCTCAGGCTCTTGTGGCTGGGCCAAAATGTCAGCAAGGCTGATCCTGCTCCCTGTGGAGTAAAGCTGCTGGATTGCTTCTAGGAGCCTCCTCCCCCTCGGGGCGGGGGCAGGGAAGGGGACCAGGACCCCCTCACTGCCATGTGCTCTCACTGTATTGCAAGGCCCCAGGGAGAGAGGGAAGGATGCAGAGCCCCTACCCCAGTGATTCTCCAGCCTTTCCATCCCACGCCCCCGGGCTGGGAACAGCCAGCACCAGTGGGAGCCCAGCACCAGCTCAGTTTCACAGCAGAGCCTACCAGCAGCATCAGCTGTGAGCACTATGGAGCACAGACAATAGCAGCCATGAAGCTGACAGGAGTGACAGCAAGGGGTGAAGTAAGGCAGTGTCTACACGGACACTGTGTCTCCCTCACTGCACCGACATAAGCACTGCACCTCTGGTGGAGCTGGAGTGATGATGTCGGGGTAGCAGGCCGCTTACTTCGGCAGAAGCAGCATTCTGGTGCAGACACAGGAATTAGAGATGGCAAAGCGCAGTCCCGTGGATTTCCTCTCCAGGGGCAGGGAGCAGGGCAGGCGTGAGCCCTCTGGGGTGTTCTCCAGTGTTTGTCCTACTCGGCTTGAAGTGACCCAGATGAGGGAGCTTTCACCACCACTTGCGCACCTGTCTGGGATCACACCTGACTGTGCATGTGTCCTTGCAGCGTGCACGCACCAGGCAGTGAATTTATGGGTGTAGCCGTTGAGTGTGAGACCCTTTGTGTACATTCGCAGTGTGTGCGTGTGCTCGAGCGTGTGTGCATGTGCTCGGAGCGTGTGTGCGTGTGCTCGGAGCGTGTGTGTGTGTGCTCGCAGCGTGTGTGCGTGTGCTCGGAGCGTGTGTGCGTGTGCTCGGAGCATGTGTGTGTGTGCTCGCAGCGTGTGTGCGTGTGCTCAGAGCATGTGTGCGTGTGCTCGCAGCGTGTGCTCGAGCGTGTGTGCGTGTGCTTGCCGCGTGTGTGCGTGTGCTCACAGCATGTGCACACATGGCTAGGAACACTCCTGACGGGCTTCCATCTGCCCATGCTTCTCCGACTGATTAACTCGGTGTTGGCTGCTGGGCCGGTGAGCCGAGAGCGCACCATGGCAGGATGCCAGCGCATCACTGGCTCTCTTCCAAAGCTGCAGTGCTCTGCGGTAGCAGCAGGGATGGTCCCTGCCTTCCCAAACCTGTGTGCCTCTCTCCTGGCCTGGCCTGGCCTCTCTCACACGGGAACCACGAGCTGGGTGCCAGTACCAGTGGGTGCCAGGTTGCGGTGGCGAATTCAGCCCCTGGCTATGTAGTGGGTGTGGCCGTGGTTGGGGATTGGGAGGGTGGATTTAGTGCTGGAATTTTCCTGGCACCGAGAGCCAGGCAGCTGATGCGCAGGCCTCTCCCACCTAACTCTGCTAGTGCCCACCCCCAAGTCAGTTGGGCAGTGTCCTTTGCTGTGAGGTTCTGAACTCCAGTAACCCAAAGTCCCGTTAACGTGCCCCTCCCTTCTCTGCACCCCACTCACAGGTGTCGCCCCTGGTCAGTGCAGACCCAGGGGCGCATCTGCAGATTTCACCTTCTGCCCTGGGTGAAGGGGAGTAAAAAGGCACTTCACTGCCCAGGCACTTGAGCAGAGCTCCTCTTTCCCAGGCACCTGATTGCCACACCTCCCTACGAGGAAGCCTACCAGCTGATCCATGCTCTGTTCTTCTTTGCCAATTGATCAGCACACCTCCCTACCAGCTGATCACTGTACCTTTTTGCTAGCTACCCTACCAGTCAAACGCTGCACCATGCTACTAGCTATCCTGCCAACCACCCACAAATCTACTAGGATGGCTTTAGGTCCCATCAACCCATGTCTCCTGCCTAGCGAGTGCTGTTTAGTTGAGGGTGAGTCCCTCCATCAGGATATGACAAGTGCAGTTCTGCTGCCTTTGATTCACACAAGGATAAAAACCCTTTATTACTCCTGCCCAATAACAAGGAGATGGGGAGATCCAACACCAGCCAAAAGTGATCATTTGGGCAAGCAATCCCATCATGCTGAGCACCTAGGCAGGGTGGGTGTGCCCATGCAAATGAGATCAGCTCCTGAAGTCCTTTTCCACAGCTCATCACTAGATGTTAGGGAAGAGCTCATCCAGACTCTGCTTACACATTTTAGGGGTTCCCAGTGATGACCGGCTCCCCTGCCCTGCCCTCTAGGGAGTCCTCACACCTCTGGAGCTTGGGCGACATGCCCCACAAGTGATGGCCCCACCGCTGCCCACTGTGGGTGGGATGGGGATGTGACCCAGCCAGCACGCGGAGGCCTCGCCAGCCAGTGCTGGGAGGCACCTGGGTAGCATGGATGGGGATTTTACAGAGAGTTGGGCATGGCTCCCCTCTCCCCTGTGCAGGTGAGCAGCACTGCCTCTCATTTTCCCAGTCAGGGCTGATGGGAAGCACTAAAGCAGCCCAGCCCAGCATGGCAGTTACTGCCCCTGGGGCTGGCCAGAGAGCAACAGCCACTCTCCAGCCAACCAGAGCTTTGCACCATGCTCCTGCTCTTCAGAGACTTTCTCCTGCCTCAGCTGGGCATCCTGCTGTGAGCAGGGGGGGCTCACTTTCACAGCAGGGAGCCCCTTGCTCCTCAGAGCTGGAGGCAGCTGTGAAATTCCAAGCATGTCATTTTCACGGCTGGCAGGCTCCCTGTTGAAAAACTGCACAACCATGGGCTCACTGCTTGGGCTGTCACCCTGGGGTGTGTGGGGGGCTCCAGCTGTGAGCCCGGTGCAGCAGTCAGTGCCCCACAGTGTGCTGCTTCAGTCCGTGCAAGCGCTCCTGGTGAGGAGCACCGCCGGCAGAAGGAGGGCAGTGTGGACACCAGCAGCCCATAGAATTTTGTAGTGTAGACAACCTCTAGGACTATTGTGGAGAGAGGGGCTTGAGCAAAGCCCCAGGATGCAAAGAACCCTGATCTGCTGGAGAGGAGGGCAGGGCTAAAATCCAGGGCTGGAACTAAACTTGCCCCTGATGCACATGCCCAGCACAGGTTCACCCAGCCACAGAGAGAAACGTGTACCCTCCAAGGCAGGAGTTCTCAACCAGGGGTTCAGAGCCCCCAGGGGGGCCAGAAGCAGGTTTCAGGGGGGTCCACCAAGCAGGGCCAGTGTTAGACTCACTGGGGCCCAGGTCAGAAAGCTGAAGCCCCACCGCATGGGGCTGAACCCTAGGGCACTGAGCCAAGTCACCTGGGGCTGAAGCTGAAGCCTGAGCAACTGACCTTCATGGGATCCCCTGTGGTATGGGGCCTCAGGCAATAACTTCAGCCCTGGCTTTTCTATGCAGAAAGCCAGTTATTGTGGCACAGGTGGGCTGTGGAGTTTTTATAGCATGTTGTGGGCCTTAGAAAGGAGAAGATTGAGAGCCCTGCTCCAAGGCACATAGCAGCCCTTCCACTCCCCATCACTAGCTATACCCAGGGCCCAATTCGAATGGAGATCTGCCATCAGAGAATGTAGTCCTTAGCACCTATTTTACTCTGCATAATCCGTCCTGTCCTGTCGTCTATGGTCTTTCTAGGCCCCTACCACAGTGGTACCTAATACCAGACACAGTTCAGTTTAAGGTGATGATAGCCTTAAGGATGTTTCTTCTCTCCCCATCTTCCACTTTTGTTGCTGCCAATGTTTTTAGGGACATCATCACCTGGGGAACATTAACCCAAGA